TAAACAATGCCAAACGTCTTAAAGGTGTGGTTATGTTTGAAACCTCGATTGTTAATTTTTTTCGGAGCACTTATCTAGAAATTATGTGGAGATTTGTATCTAATGTTTTATTAATACATTGAACTCCGTAAAGTAAACAGGTAGATTATACAAAAGTAAATGTCTCTACAGTAACATCTCATAAGTAAAATTGAAATTAAACATTTTTTTACAAACAGATTTATCAATATAAATTACATTTTAATGAATATGTAACTTTTAGATACTAATGTTATGGTGTAGTTTATAATCTTAACCAATTATACATGCAATTTTAACTTAAACCCTTAGTATGGTACTATCCTGCTTTTCAACAAAATATTGGTATGATATGTTCATATATCCGAATTATATAGAGACTGTCCACAGTGACTCCCTGTCTATAATGACCTTTTTTCTTTTCTCCCATCGAAGGTCACTGTAAACAGTCTTTACTGTATAGTCTAAATATTGCTTTAAATTTACTTAAATTTTAAGGGCAATTGGAGGTATACTATTTAATGTTTTTATACAACTTAATCTTAATTGTATGTCAATATTGGATGAAAGTTTGATATATTATTAGATAATTAAATGTTAAGTAACAAACAGGCAATGTTGGTTTGATCAGCCAATGTACGAGTCTCCCCAGAGGGGGAGGTATTACTGCTGAGTCAGTCAAGGATGGTCACAATTTTTGACAGCCGATCTATGGGGCTGGATATTGTTGACGGATGAACGCGAAATGGACGGCTAATTGATATGTTATCTAATTAAGATTCCAGAGAAATATTTACTTGATTACTAAATTACACTTGTAATCCCTGTACCGTACCATGAAAACTGTCTCGGGTCCTATAAAACTGTCATACACTTATGTTACTATGTTACTTTTGAAAACTCACACAGGCATGAGGTATGTTTTCTGGTGTTAATTTTGACTGATTTATAACATTTATCATGTGCTACTACTTATTTTCTGTTTCTAAAAGGCACATTTTTATACAATATACTTTGTACTTAAAAAAAAAAATTTATGTCAAAGATGTTGAATAGCTGTATAGATTTTAAGGTTATTTGGTAATCATGTTTAAAATTTGATGCTGGTTTTTGAACCAATCTTATTTGCATAATTTATGCTACTTTGGTTGAAAAGTACAATTGGGTCATACTACTTCTTAGCATATTATGATATGTAAATTATTCTTACTTGATGGATGTGTTAGAAAGTGGGGTTTTTTATTATCAGGGAATGGAATTGTATTGTTTTACATGTAGTATCATTATATATGTCTTTAAAATTTACTCTTTGAGTGTTAGGGAAATGATAATTTTACTGGGAACCAGGCCAGCCTGCACATAGGGAAATGATAATTTTGTTGGGAACCAGGCCAGCCTGCACATACAAGCAGCATGACCAGACTCTGTTTATTTTAACTTCTTAATGTTTGCATTAGAATTAGTATTTGGATATTGATTTCCTGTCTAGTTCTAAATTTAAAGCAATATCCCTCTCTGTTTGCAAGGGATAGTTCTGAATTCAGAATGTGGCAAGTCTTGGTACCTCTCTGTTTGCAAGGGATAGTTCTGAATTCAAAATGTGGCAAGTCTTGGTACCTCTCTGTTTGCAAGGGATAGTTCTGAATTCAGAATGTGGCAAGTCTTGGTACCTCTCTGTTTGCAAGGGATAGTTCTGAATTCAGAACATGGCAAGTCTTGGTACCACTCTGTTTGCAAGGGATAGTTCTGAATTCAAAACATGGCAAGTCTTGGTACCTCTCTGTTTGCAAGGGATAGTTTTGAATTCAAAACATGGCAAGTCTTTGTACCCCTTTGTTTGCAAGTGATAGTTCCGAATTTTAAAACGAGGCATATCTTGATACAGATTTTGCAGTGCATAAAAATGAAGTTAATTACACTGTACCTACATGATAAGAATATTTGCATAACAGGCGATGATGTTCTTTCTACAAGATATTTTTTCATCATATAATAATCTGAATAATAATGATACGTTGCTATACACTCTTAAATATGTAAAACTATTCTATAATTTGAACAGGTTTATGTAAATAATTAATAAATATATTATAACTTGTTAAGTTTTTATTTACGATTGCTCGTGAATTATGGTACGTAAATTTCCCATTAGCAATAATTCTATGAAATTTGTGATTTTATTATTCGTATTTTACTGCATTATTCAAATTGCCTCTATCTGCATAATTATCATTTGAATTTTACTGTCGTTTATAAGGTAATTAAGAAATTTAATTGACCCTTTTGTTTCTTTTTTGAGATTTAATGGCGAACACTAAACATTTTATGGTTACAGTATGTCAAAACTCCGGTTTTGCATGAGCGATGAAAAATGTATTTACATAGATGTCTTGTATAATTAATATATTTAAATAGAATTCAAAGAAAATATATTTTGATGGTTATTATACAATTTTGTTTTTCGACCTGCGATATCTCAACGTCAGTGTGTTACGAAGCATGGAAATATAAATATATGAAAATAACATGATAATTTAACATAGAATAGAAAAAAAATAAATTGTTGATGTAAACAACTGAAAAATGTAAACAATGAGAAAAAGTGTTACAAGTCCTGAATTGTGGGGTTTTTTTTACATTTGTTTGAAGTTATCCACATGGGTTATACCAGAGTTGCTTCCCTTTGACCAGTAAAGCAACCATAAATGCAAAAACAATACTATATCTTTTTTACTCAGTTGATGAAAAGAAGTTATAATTGGATTAATTATAATAATGCATTTTAAAGTTAGGTATTAATAAAATTCTGTCCAGATCCTATTCAGATAATTGACATATTTGCTAATTGACATAGTAGCTGTAGAAAAATATTTTTATGTACTAGTAGTACATAAACTGTATCAATATTTTTGTAACAGATTGTCAGTATTGAAACATGTTTTTTTAAACAACTCTCATCAAAGGACATTTAGTATTCATGTTTTCTTCCTTAATCCGTATTGACCCAGATCTGTAGGGTATAAAACTACGCAATAACAGATTTGCTGAACTGGCGATTTTTCATAATCTTTTTGTAGTAGGTAAAAGAATTTTATTTACGTCTCGTGAAAAGATGAATGGTGTTATCGAAAGTTGCGATCAATGAGCTGTATATATTCAAACATTTCACGTACCCATATTAATTAATCATTTTAGACCCGAGATACGCAAATATTTGGTTCTTCTGTGAAAATTAAACCATTTTTAGCATGTTCTGTAAATTAATAGCTGACACATAGATCACTTTGAAGAGAAAAAAAGTTAAGGTTTTTTTTTTATGGTATTTGTAAGTTTTTACCTTCGGAGTCAAGGTTTCGCAATTTAAGGTAAATTTTAATTTAAGAATTTTTGTATGTGCATGTAAGAACATCCGTAAAAACTTCTTCACATGCTTCTATGGCTTTCTACTGAGTTTCAGATTACTACCTTTTGAAATAAAATTTTGGTGATTTTATGTGAAATTACAATTTTTTGTGAGAAACTTAAATTTATGTGTTAGTTAATGCATTAGTTTGCATCTACATTTTGATTAACTGTGATGCTGTATTTTTGTAATGGGCTTGTCTTGCTTTGAATTGGGAACAGTTCAATAGAAGTTGAAGGGATTATAGTTTCAAAATATAAAAATCAAAGCAACCACCAGTACAGACCGTGGTCACACTATACAGAAATGGAGGCTGGCCTGGCTCTATATGGTGGCAATGGTTTATTATTTTCCGGTGTAAAAAATTAAAGTCTTAAGTCTAGTACCTTGGTAATCTTTTAAGGTTTTTATGAATTTTTTTTTGTAAAGTTGTAAGGCTATATTTTATTTGCATCATGTAATTGTTATGTTTGATACAATGTGAAAGTTTAAAGGTGCTTTTAATAAATTCCATTTACAGTAGCTGGGAAAATTAAGAGAATTTATCAACTAACAGATAACCAAACTTTTTTTTTCTTCTACAGCAAGTGTCACATGTTTACAAAAGAAGCAATGAAAATGGGCTTATATTATTCAATTCTTTTCTAAATATTGAATTTAAGAAATTATTCAAATAAAATATTTAAAATAGAAAGTAAATCTATTCAGTTTACTTTTAACAGCCGCAAGTACTGTCAAATACTTTTGAGAACTTCTAAGCTCTGCACAAGTGTTGTATAAATATATTAAATAGGATATGCGGGGATTTTTTTTCTCCGTCCACCAATTATGGCACTTGTACAGCGGAACACGCCCTTTGAAGTCAAGCTTCTTGCGTATTTATGGAGTATCGATACAGGTTTAGAATGTCAACTCCCTCTGGAAGTTGTCCCATTGATGTGGGGGAATTTAATAGCATCAATATTGAACTATTTTTATATCAATTTCATAAAGTTTATTTAAGGATGCCATGAATATTTTGTTGTAAGTAGGGGGATTTTGGGTGGAAAAAAAAGAAGGGAGCATACAAAGGCAATAAGAGAAAAGGATTTTATTTTTTTAACTTGCATTATCTGATTGAATATTAAATGTTCTGCTTACATGATAAGATAAGATTAGGATGAAAATGGTGCATTTGGCATGTAAAAAAAGTTTTGATAACTGGTTTTTACCAGATCGCTATGTTTAACTAGTTTTCCTGGATAGTTTACCATTTAGACTTGTCTCCAAATTTTGACCCTGTGACCAAGCGGGCTCCTTCCATCTTAAAGACCGAGTGTAGTCAGAATAATTTAGGATAGCTTGAACTAATAATTAACAACACAAAATTTGATTCTTTTTAAACCAAGTGTGAATAACCTGATATTAAGCTGTCATAAAATAATGAAGATGAATTTAGTATGTCTTAATGACCAGTCATAAAATATGATGTTTATGTACTTAACCAGGTCCTAACTTTAAAATTATCCTGACTGATGGCTTAAGAATTGATAGTGTAAATGGGAGGGGTATTAATTATCTATTTGTCGTCTATTTTCAGAAGTGTACGACAGACGTATCAAGTTACATCATGGACTGACAGCCCAGGGCCACCTTCGATCATGAAAGTCATTTGTTAAAAAAAATACTAAAAAATACGGTAAACTATTTCAAATATTTATTTTGTACATCAATAAACAGATTATAATGTTTTAGTTACGAAAGTATGTTTCTCTGCAAACTGATTTTTTCTCTCGATTAGGGAGTAGAGAAATGTGTCCTCGACAAGTTCATGATTGCTTTTGTAAAAAGAATGAATATTTTTAGCAACAGAGTAGTGCCCCTTTAATTGTTAGTTCAAATGAAATTGCCAGTCTCCGATCATATCAGTTACTATTAAATTGTTAATTACATTTTCATGCTTGTATCAAGTTATTTGCTCTAAACTTGAGAAATAAAGATGAAAATTTTAAAGAATACCAACAAAAGTGACATTTCTCTTTTGCCCTCACGCTGAAACTTGACCAAAATGTTTTTGTACCTATTTCCTTTTGCGATAAAATGAATCAGTCAGCTTTCTTGTTGTGGGAGTGTTAGAGTCATCTACTGTTTCTGTTACGTCAAATTTTCGCCTTCCGGTCATAGTAATGCTTTACTACAAAATTAAAGACAAGGTGCGTAGGAAGTTGCTTGAAATACAGGCAGTCAAATTACACAAATGTGGTATGCAATAACACAAATTGAAACAAAACACTAAACATTATATGGGAATATTTTTGCTGTTTGTACTTAATACAGGTAAACTGTTACACAATTCATACAGTCAATGTAAGCTGATCGTACTGCAAAACTAATTAACAATTTTAATATGTATTGTGTAGCCAAAACTAATTTAACTTTCATCAGAATCTGAGTTAAAATTACCTGTTTACATGTATCTGACATGCATGTTGATTATGTATTTCATGATGATGCAAGAACTTCTTATAACAAAAGAAAACTCCTCGAGTTTCAATGTAAATGTTATAGAAACCCTGCTTGTATATCGATTCCCAAACATTCGGTCCGAACATTACGTGAACTTGTCATTTTCCGGTCTTGAACCGCAGGGTAATATTGTTTTCAGAGGTGAGATCCAGTGGTTTACTTTTCACAATACGAGTACTCGTGTGGTTAGACTCAGTAGATTGAAATGTTCACCGCCTAGATTGTATTTCCCTACTCCCTCTCCAGTTATTCTTAATGATCTGAAATACGGAGACAATTTATTTTGCTATTTCATGTTATAAGGCATCCGCAGTATCATGAAGATCATCAAGTCAGAATAACAAAAATCATGGCTGATATTTAAGAAGCATGTTTGGGTTTCGACAAATTTCTTGTGGTTTTTACTAAAAAACTACATTGTTTCTTTTTTAAACAAATTCCATTTTGTTTGTATCAGTAAGAAATTTTTAAATATCAAACTTTAAGTGTAATAAAGTTCAAAGTCATTGTATGAGATGGAGAGTTTTTCGTAGAGTTATAACATCTATTGGTAATGGAATATTTTAAGAAGTTTCCCCTCTTAAGTTTAATGGGATTGGAGCAAAAAAATATTGTATATATTTATTGAAAATTAAAAAGTGTGTCTCATTTAATGTGTTTATTATATTTATATTTTGTTTGACATAAGCATCTAGTTTTTTGATTGACATAAGCACCTAGTAATGAGAGTTTTTTTAGAACTGAACATAAAGCGTAGATGCCATACAAAAATTGTCAGTTGAGGGGCATATAGCATGCATTACCAGCTTTTACATGACTAAATGTCAACTTTACATCTTTCGTGTGTCCGTCGGTTGCACAGTACATGATTTTGTCATTATTGTTCCTTTGATTCGACTCCGTTTTTCTAAATTTATTCATAAATTCAAGTTTCAAGTTGACAAATAGGTAATAAATAAGTGATGTTTTAATAATCGTTACTTATAATTAAAATACAAAACGGTACAAATAAATGGTTTTATGATGACATGTTGTTTTATTTCAAGTGTCAAGAATTTACGAAGATGACATGAAATCATAGAGGTCACGAATGCCCTCATTTTTTTTTTGGCTTTTGTCGAACCATTGTCTAAATTTGATATTTATCCCAAAGACGCGCGTTAAATACATGTATAGTAGAAATCCAAATACAGTCCGTGTAAGTCACTACTTAGGCGAACTACCAAAGCAGAATTAATGTAACTATTATATTACCATTTAATATGAAATGAATTTCAGTATGATATTTTAAAAAGAAAAACAAATTAATTTCTTACATGAGAAACTTGAATGATTGAGTTGTAACTGGAAAGTTTACGCACCAAATTAGGTGAAAATATAGTGAATCATCCAAATTTTTCTTCAATGAATTTGTAATTAAGTTTTCATGTTATTACGACTTTATTTACATCAATGATTGTTACTTTTTTGTCAAAATAACCTTTTACTTCATTGATAAAACTGTGTAATTTTTGTTTCGATGGCTTTGGCGAATAACTAATGATGTAAATTTAAAATGTCATCTATAAATTTTAATGTAATATCGGTACACTATAGAATATATTTTATGTAACAAGTTTGATAAACATCTGTTAAGATAATGAAGTGAAGCTATCTTTGTATAAATCAAACACTGTGAGAGAGTGGAAAGCATGCATTTTCCAGGTTTTTGAGAATTTTAGAAAGTTTTCAGTAATCTAGTGGTTATCACCTGTTAACAGGAGTGACAGTGCTGTCGAAAACATCTGTATGATAGTTGCAGGCAGCGGCTGCATGTTCCTACATGATAGTAACTCAATGATGACGTAATAACAGAAAAGTTTCTAATCTGGAAAAAATAAATCTGTTATAATAAATTGTTTCAAAATTTGACTGAAATTTTACAAAATTACAATTATTTTTATGATTGGGCTGATGAATGGGGTAATTAGTTCAAATGATTGAATTGTGACTTTAAACATGTTTTGACATTCTGTGTGATAGGTGGAATTCTTAGATCATCTAAAAACTTTTTTTTTCTAGAGGTATGATGGTCTAGATAGATCTCAAGTATATCAATTTGTTTGTTTGTTTTACGTTACCAACATTATTTACTCAATTTTTATTTCTTGATTAATATTTATATAGAATCTCAATGCTTTATTACTTGGCTTAACATTGTCAAAATACAAAAAAAAACGTTATTGAATTATTACCGTAAACCTTGTTTTATATTTTTATGCCACCGCAGCATCTGCGATGCGGTGGCATATAGCGATTCACCTGTGTGTGTGTGTGTGTGTTTGTGTGTGTGTTTGTGTGTGTGTTATATAGATTATATAGTGAACTTAAAAAATCTTCTTGTGAAAAACCACTAGTCCAATTTCAACCAAACTTGGCAGGATTGTTCCTTGGGTGAAGGGCTTCCAAAGTTGTTCAAAGAATTTCATTCCATGCAGAAATCTGGTTGCCATGGCAACCAAAAGGAATTATAAGAATAAATTTAAAAAATCTTCTTGTAAAGACCCAAAAGGCCTAGAGCTTAGATATTTTGCATAAGGCATTGTCTGGTAGACATCTAACAAGATTGTTCAAATTATAGCCCTGGGGTCAAAATTGGCCCCGCCCCGAGGGTCATTGATTTTCACTATGTACATATAGTAAAAACTTAAAATACCTTCTTGTAAAAACCCAAAAGGCCTAGAGCTTAGATATTTTGCATAAGGCATCTTCTGGTAGACCCTTACCAAGATTGTTCAAATTATAGCCCTTGGGTCAAAATCGGCCCCGCCCCGGGGTCATTGATTTTCACTATATGTACATATAGTAAAAACTTAAAACACCTTCTTGTAAAGACCCAAAAGGCCTAGAGCTTATATATTTTGCGTAAGGCATTGTCTGGTAGACCTCTACCCAGATTGTTCAAATTATAGCCCTGGGGTCAAAATCGGCCCCGCCCCGGGGGTCATTGGTTTTCCTTATATGTATATAGTAAAAACTTATAGTAAAAACTTCAAAAAAAATTCTTCTAGCAATTGACAAATGCTAGAGGTTAGATATTTTGCATGAAACATTGTGTAGTAAACCTCTAGCAAGATTGTTCAAATTATAGCCCTGGGGTCAAAATTGCCCCCGCCCTTTGGGTCATTGATTTCAATATATACATATAGTAAAAAATAAATAAATCTTATTGTCTGAAGGTACAAGGCTTAGAGCTTTAATATTTGTTAAATTATATCATCTGAAGGTACTCTACAAAAGTTATTCAAATTTTGCCTCTTGTGTCAAAATTAGCCCCGCCCCCTGGTGGCCATAGGTTTTCCTTATATGTATATAGTACAAACTTAAAAAATCATCTTCTCTAAATTTACAAAGGCTAGAGTTAAGATATTTTGCATGAAACATTGTGTAAGGAACCTCTGGCAAGATTGTTCAAATTATAGCCCTGGGGTCAAAATTGGTTCCGCCCCGGGGGTCATTGATTTTCATTATGTACATATAGTTAAAAAAATAAAAAATATTTTTGTCTGAAGGTACAAGGCATAGAGCTTTGATGTTTGATATATAATATCATTTATAGGTCCTCTACCAAAGTTGTTCAAAATTTTCCCCTGGTGTCAAAATTGGCCCTGCCCGGGGGCAGTGATTCTCATTTTGTACACATAGTAAAAACAGAAAATAAAACAAATGTTTTCTGAATGGGAGAAAGCTATAGCTTAGATATTTGACTTGAAATGTTGTTTGGTGGACCTGTATCAAAATTGTTTTGAATTAAACCCTTGGGTCAAAATTATGCCTTGCCCAAGGGGACAGTGACCTACTTTCTTGTCCTTTGATGTACAGCAATGACATTTTGACCATGTGCACAGTTTTAGTTGTAAAATTGAACTTTGTTATCAGGTGACCTAGATTTTGATGATGTGACCTACTTTCTTGTCCTTTGGTGTACAGCTATGAAATTTGAACCATGCGGTGGCATAGCATTTTTCTCAAATGCAATCTTGTTTTATTATTATTTTTTTTTTAGGAAAAATTTATTCTCTCTGTAGGATCAAAAACAATTTACAACAGTTAATATGCAATTTTTTTGCACTGTCTGAATAAAGAGGGGTTGGTACTTCAAGCACTGCATAAAACTTCAATTAAAAAGAAATGTAAGGCATTTTAATAATAAATATATCAAATTTTTATTTGCTTTTGTGTAATGTATAATGTATTAGAGAATATGTTTGAGCATGCCCAATTTCACATTGAGGCAAATGTAACAAAAACTTATGATAATGTTTATATCAGATACTTTAATGTGGAAATTGGAGCTCTCTCGCATGAGGTAGATAGAAATCTCGTGCATGCAATTCAAAGAAAAAAAAAGTCAAGTTACAAAATGAGAAATGAAGTTGGAACAGTCTGAGAAAATGCAGATATTGCCGTTTACAAAGCATGATAATAATATTACAGTTAGTTAATACATCTGGAATAGGCCAACCTATTTTCTTTTTGGTTACCTGTTTGTGAAAATGATGAAAATTAAAAATATTCTATATTTAACCTTTGGTGGGCCTTTGCAGTGTCATCAAACACTTCATCATTTTTACACTCTTTACATTTGCAATGAAAGACTTGCTTTTTGCTTTTCTTTGAAATTCGACTAATCCATTATGTTGTTACAATCAATTCCAATACCAATATGCTAAAAATGATAAGTCTAAAACCTAAGTATATGTTTAGGCTAGCCTGGATCTATATTTGTGGCAAAGGCAAATCACACTTGTTGCTTTTGTTCAGAGAGTTAAGACGATACGGCCTGATCTGAAGATGTCATTGGACCTGATTTCTTTGTGGAGGTACATGACAGAAAACCAAGCAAAACAAGATAAATATATTTTGATTCACGGAGACAGTATTTACTATTTGTTAAAAACATTGTAGACTTGTTTGAAATTTAAAAGATATAAAAATGTCATTTGACATCACTTAATGATAAACACCCCTATCTTATTTTGTGGATGGAAAAATAATAAAATGTTTAAAATTCTTTCTCTCTCTCGACTTTGATTTATTCCAGAAACATTTATTGATGGCCAGTTCTTGAGATTACACGTGTTTTTCTAAATTTTAATGTTCACTCCAGCATTTTCAGTGTTTAAAGGGTACAAAAATTTTTCATATTTTACATTTAATGTTAAAATGACTGCAGAAAAAAAGAACAGAGAGCACTTCAAGGGACGAAAAGTAAATGAAGATAAAAAAAGGCCATTTTATTTTTGAGTCTTATATTATAAAACCATTACGATATCAAAGTTTTGTGTCTGTGAAATTATAAAATGAAAATTCCCAGCCGAAAGGTAAGGTTAGGGGTAAGATTTATGGGGGATTGAAACTAGCTCAAAAACAGGATCTAGATTTCTTGTATTGACAAGAAAGTGAATACATTTCCATATTATGAAAAAAAAGGTAAATATTTTAATTGCAAAACAAGTGCTGTAATGTTCTAAACATTTGATCTCATGCACAATGTCCAAATTGAATTCTTGAAAATTTTGTAAAGGTATCTTAGAATGTTTGTTGGTATTTGGTACTATGCTATGTTTCTGATATACATACATGTTCCTAATAATGTTAACAAGTGATTTGTTTGTTTGTTATTCCGGGTATTTGATATTCTTAGAATTGAATCAGCAAGATTTCTAAGGCATTTCTGTATGGAATTTGTAATGGTTTTGTTGTTATGTTACTTTGAAAATTGGAACTGTCCATTTACGGTTTCAGAGAGTTCAATTTAAAAATTGTGGTTCTGTTCTTTTATACATAGGGTCAGTTATTATTGTTGTTAAATATTCAGATAACTGGTTAATCTCTTTACTGTTGTTAAAATAAATCATATTGTGGGGCTTTTTGATAGATGTTACTAAGGCAGGTATCTTTTACAGTTTGTTTTCTATGTCTAGACATTAAATGACTACCTGTAAATGATTTTACCATTTGTCTGTCAACAAACTTCTCTAACCTTTAATATCTGGGCTTGTTGAGGATTTTGATATATGGATATAATATATAAAATCAGAGAAAAGATAAAAAAGATGTACAAATTGTCGACCAATCCCTGAATGTCTATAGTTGAAAAAGTTAAGGGTTAATTTTTCGCCCGACGCCATGATTTATTTCTCCGAGGTTATTGATAAAGATCTAATCACATTGATACTGAAGTAAATTCGTGCCTTATCAGTAAAATTATGTGTTAGCATTACATAATATTTATATTTTGCAATTTTTTTGTATAATTTCAGCTTTCAGAAGTCGGGGAGAAACGTTGACATGTTTTGTTAAGGCCACACGCACATCGTCTGATGGCTTTCTTGATATAGATACATCATTTTGACAGTGAACGAGGTATGTGCATTGATAATCAATTAGTAAATGACATTAATTAAAATTCTCACGGAGAGAAGCAGTTTCACCAGGTTTTTGTGCGAATTAATTTGACTGGGATATGAGTAATTTGAACCGATTTTTGTGTTTGATTTTTTTCTCGCCCTCTCAATTTGACAGTACATACAGAGGTCATAAACCATAAAAAAAAATTTTTTTTTAAATGCACAATATTTAAGGAATGAAATAAATATGTCAAAACACACATAAACATGAATAAAGTGGGATCAACAAGAAGTCTTTGCACTATTACTCATAATAATATTGTCTACATTTGCACTTTTCCATTGGGAAATGCACTTATGACGTCGGCACTGCGGTGACACTTGCCTCCTATCAGCATCAAAGCAGTCTCAATATATTGTTTAGAAAATTTCGGGAGCTGACGATTTTTGATAGAACCGTGACTTCTAAACTGATAAGGAACAGCGGGTAAAAAACAATGCCCCAACAAATGATGTTTTCCACTTACTTTGTAATTTATTCTTAATGAGATATAATTCTCTCCTGCGGAGTAAGGGAATGCTCTCTGACATGCATTGTAATTCACGGTTGGATATTGCACAAAAATTCAACTGAAAGTAAACGACTGAAATATGGTAATAACCACCTGTTTCTTCCAATTTAATATTTAATTAATTTTCTTTCCTCATTTGCACATGTTATGCAAGAGAGGGTCTAGTGCAGGTGTATGCATCTTGGTGGATTGTCTGCAGCCAAACTATTCTGTCTACATAAGCCTTTTAGCGTCTGCTGCCACCAGTATGTCTACTTGTTTACAAATAATGTGATTATCACAGCTGGATACCCTCTAAACGTAAATAGAAACCATTTAAAAAAATGCAAGTATTTCGCTTGTTCGCTCAACAGGCACTTGTGGTAACATACAGTAGAATTAATATATCAAACTGTATATCTTAAATCGCCACCCTCCATACATCATGCACATACTATATTAACTTATGACTAACCTTGATTGCGGTGCTCTAATTTTTTTATTTCGTTTAAAAGCTACGGTTTCTCAAAATCTTCCAATTACTCATTTGACATTGATATAAGAGAATATTAATTAGCGACAACTTTTAAATGTTCAAGCTCATCCATAAAGTTCAACAACGCCAACCGCTCAAAAACTCTAATTAACATATTAACAACGCATTTTAATTTACAACTTTTTCACTGGTTTTACTGTACATAGCAATTCATTTGTTTTCTATATAGCAATTAAAGATGCAGATTTCATGTTAAAAGTAAACAAAACAAACAAAAGAAACAATTATTTACAGTTAAGATGACACATCTTTTATAATTGTTAAAACTTTGCCAACATTACAAAGAAGTGTTTAAATGACAAAAAGTTTTATGCATGACCTTTGAGCACTAGTGGCAGTAATAGCGGGTCTGTTTCGCATCCAGTGTAGAGCAATATCAGAATAAAGTTTCTTGTCAACTAACGTATATTTCAATTACTTCCTGTCAATAACAATGCAGCATTCCATATTCAAAATTGGTCGCAAAATGAGCAGCGCAGGTTCATATTCAAATATAGTTTATGTACATGTATATGTCTATGAACATGATGTAATTTCAAACATTGGTCTTTAATTCTGGCTAATTTAAATATTTACTACTTAATATGTATTTTTGGTCAAATGTTGACAAAAACTTTAACTATCAGTAATAAGTTGCTGGAAAGACACCCACAGCTTGTTTCTTTGTCAATGCAAGAAATCTGTGATTTAACAGCATTCTTAACCCATTCTACGCTTAATATCTTAAATAGATCTAACTAACAGTTACTATACATCATTTTTAGGGAAAATTTCAAAATATGTATTGACTGATTGCAGACAAAGGATGTGTCTGCTTATCTTGGTCTGCACTGGTCATATAGGTAGAATCTGTTGCTTTCAGCAGGCTAAGAATTAATATTGAGTATGGCAAAGTAAAAGGTAAACATAAGTTGGGCAAATCTTGCCTAAAGGATAACGTCTCTTAGTGGTTTAGAAGATAGAAGATTTCGTGTTTATGTCTGACATTCTGTGAGTGTTGAAGCGGATGTCATTTGATGCATTACTTTGCTAATTGAAGACTTAACATCTAAGTCTTCAGTACAACTTTTATGTACAAGATGCGATATTGCATATGGTGCTTTCATGATCCGAAAAATATCGCCTGCCTGGCCAGAGATGAAAATAACTGCCATTGTCGGTCATAAATTTCTATCAGAGGTGTTACTAAGGACAAAAAAATACATCATCCATGAATGATAGAATAGATATGTAAATTTGATTGTTTGTGTAAAACACAGCTGTTTGGTTGAAGACAAACTATGAAAATTTTATTTAATGGTTTTATATAATCCTTTGTATGGTTGTGTTATAGACCAAAGATATTTTGAAAATGTTTTCACAGAAATAATGTCTCGTAATCAGAATTTGTAGGAGCATAAGGAAAGAGGAGAAATGTATATAGGTTTTTTTATTGAATGCAGTTACAATAGAAATAAGAATATATCGTTAAATTCTTTTTGATAGTTCTGATGAAATAAATGTATCGGAAGTTTGATTTAGAGGTAAATTAAAATGCAGAAAATGTCAAATTGCAAAAATTTGTGCAAAAACAGCAATTTTCAGTGCTAATGGTATGCACGAGTTATGTGAGATGTGTTAATTCAAAGGATGATCATGTCAATCAGCCTTTTCACTCACACTTGTCAAAATATTTGTATCTTTCAACGTGTTTAAATTCCGAAGATATCAATACTGATGACATTGATTAATTGATGCGTTTTTTCGCCTCGTGGAAAAACGATCACTCTGCCACGATGAGTAATCACGGTCATAATCTGTAAACAAACTAAATTTCATTTGATCAAGCATCTGTAATAGCTTAATGTTGATATGTTTTATAAATCTTAACAGGTACAATTGACGTAAAACAAAAGAAACGGTTACAGTCGCTTTAGGTTATTCAATAACGACACTGATTTTATCAAATTGCGGTCGTAGAACATTTAACATCAATAGCGGCTTCACCAACTCACCTTTTGAAAGAATTTTGATCGGGATTGACATTTTAAATATATTGTTTAAAACTAATTAGAAATTTATTAATTAGCATTTGGCAGCTCCCCAGATGTTTATTTTGTTGCGATCGTTATCTATACATTGAACTACTATAAACGAAAAAGAATTATAGTAAAATATTTAGGTATTGTAATGTTTAATATATCTCACGCAAATGCCATATACAGCTAAAGATCATTTCATCAGGAACTGTTTGTTTTGTTTTGAGTGTTACAAATCTTTTAAAATCATATCGGATTAAGTTTCATAAAAGTTTGTCAATAAATTTGATTAACCTTTGATCAAGTTTAAGACATGTTTAAGAGGCAAACTGCTTAGTAATACCTTAAGAAATATGGCTTACTCATTTTACACAAGTAAGGACATGGCCTTCTTCAACAATATTTTAAAGAGGTTTGCCTTCAATACAGCAGCACACTTCCAGATTCTTATTATATTTCTGAAATTTTTCTGAAGATTTAATAATTAAAATGTTAGTCTTGTGTATACACTTAATGCAATAAGCTTACCTTAAGCATTAGTTTTTCACAGAAATCACCTGTATGTGTCAAATTTTGCAAAAATACTAGTCTGTTTTTTCTGCTAATAACACAGTAGGAAAACCGTGCTAAAAGAAAACATCCTAATTGTTACAAATGTACTTAGATTGTGTTCTTCAAGCCTATGTGTTATATTTTTCAAAATATATCTACACTTTCAGAAGGCATGCAGCTTTAACTTATACCTTTACTGACTTTTTACATTTACAGGTTGAATGATCAAGTGTAGGTTGTAAATAAGTTTCTTCTAATATTAAATCTTTAAAAAGAAATATGGTTTTCTGTGATTGATTGTCTAAACAATTTTGAAAGTTAAAATATCTTGTCATGTAAGATAGTATATCTTCTTTATATAGTGACAATGCTGTAGTTCCCAGACTTGTTATCCATAAAGAAATATTTGATAATTTATTAAGTCTTTTACTATAAGAAAAGTAGAAAGATGTTTAGGTAACCAAAACCGTTGCAAGAAAGATGCATAATGTTGTGTTGTTCTAACAAAAGAAGAATCAACTGGTAACTTCATTTGGACTTGAATGCATTTTTAAAATTCTTCTTTTCCTACATCCATGTAAAAAATATCCTTGAATCAGCACAACTTCAATGGTAGGTAGTACAATTTAATCATCAAAATCTGTCAGAAATTGAAACATATTGGTGGCAGGCAAATTTTTACAACATAAATTAATCATTAAGACTGAAAGTTTGGAGATATTCACAATGTCTTACATGATTCATACTGAAATTAATATAATTAGCATTATTTGTAACTCCGCATTGATACTTCATCAAGATAGATATTACAACAAAAAATGGGAAAGAAAAAAAAAAAACGGCTTAATTTGCATAATTAGAATTCTATCACCGCAATCTATTTTACACTCATGCAACGATATTAGTCATAATGCCCGATCAAATTAACATTTTCTTGTGACGATTCTCAACAAATTTGTTTATGTACAAGCACCTGTCATTTATCTAGTTGATGTTTAATGAAGTCGTATTTTTTTCATAAGGTTGTCTGTCTTATTCACCGAGTCTATAACATAGATCATTACCCTGTGAAGTTGTATCGCACCTGGCCGTCAGAACCGTGAATTAATTTGATACATATTGAATATAGATACAATTTAACAGGCCACTGATGACAGTAATAACCGATATTTAAATGGACAAAATATGAGCAGTTTGCAGTACGACTTTTAGAAATTTTATGGCCCATCCTATTGTGTTCATTGATTCTGATCAGCCTTACTGGCTGGCTGACTTAAAGGCATTTAATAATTATGCCCTATTGTCATTTGTGGTTAGAGTGACCAGTCTGTGCTACTAA